TTGATACTGGAGCAACGCATACCTTCATTTCACGCTGATGTCTCGATGCCATCGGAGTTTACGCAGTTACCGCTGTCGATCCTCTCGAGGTGAGTTTAGCCTCGGGACGAAAGATAGTGACATCAGCCAAAGCCTTAGATCTTAGCCTTTTCATCGGTGGCCGTGTATTGACTGCCGACGCGTTCGTTCTCGAGATGAGAGACTTCGATCTTATTCTCGGGATGGATTGGCTATCCTTTTATCATGCAGACATCAGATGTCATGACCGGGAGATCACTCTCTATCTTCCGGGAGACGAGTCGATTACTTTCTTCAGCTCCAGGAACCGTTCACTGCCTCAGGTTGTTTCGATGGCGAAAGCCACTAAGTTATTGCGACGAGGCAACTGCCAGGGTTACCTGGTAAGCCTTGTTGAGGATTCTCAGAAAGCGCGGACACCTCATGATGTTCCAATCGTTCGCGAGTTCGTGGACGTATTCCCAGACGAGCTTCCAGGAGGACCGCCCAACCGTCAGGTGGAGTTTTCTATCGATCTTATCCCAGGAGCCGGTCCAGTATCCAAAGCCCCATATCGCATGGCGCCTAAAGAGTTACAGGAGCTTAAGACTCAGATTCAGGAGCTGTTACGACTCGGTTTCATCCGACCAAGCGTGTCACCGTGGGGAGCACCCGTTCTCTTTGTTAAGAAGAAGGACGGATCCATGCGATTGTGTATCGACTACCGGGATCTCAACCGGTTGACGATCAAGAATAAGTACCCGCTTCCCAGGATCGACGACTTATTTGATCAGCTGAGGGGAGCCTGTGTATTTTCGAAGATTGATTTACGATCAGGCTACCACCAGCTGAAGATTAAGGAGTCAGACCTCGCTAAGACCGCTTTCAGGACTCGTTACGGCCATTACGAGTTCGTTGTCATGCCTTTCGGTCTCAGCAACGCGCCAGCTGTTTTTATGGACCTCATGAACCGTATCTTTCATCCATACCTCGATCAGTTCGTTATTGTCTTTATTGATGACATCCTTATCTACTCGAAGAGTCAGAAGGAGCACGA